CATATGTTGTACCTCGTTCCTTTCCTTCAGGGAACAGTAGTTATATGCATAACATTACGTTTCCTGTCTCAGATATCAGAAAGTGTCCATTCATGAAAATGACAGCGATAATTAAAAAGAACTTTACGAGTTCAGAGATTGAAGTCCGTCTGTCAGAGATCCAGAAAAGAAAATCTGTCATTTTAGCAGGTCAGCTGTGGAATAAAAAGAGCTGCTAAAAGTATAAACAACTGTGTTAAATCATTTTCATTTTTTCAGAAGACACAGCGCTGTGCACCGTATGTGAGCGCCTTTTTTGCAGAAGTCATGTGAAAGTCAAATGAACTTTTTTTTTCTGACTGAATGTAGGCGGGTCCAGCAGAGAGAGAGGGAGAGAGATTGGGGCTGGGATCAGATGCTTAAAACAGGAGCTGATTGGTTGATGGACATGTTTGATGAAAAGTTTCAGACTTGACAGGTTTCAGGGAGGGCTGAGTGACCAAGGAGGTGGGCCAAGGAGAGAGAGGGGTGGGATCAGGGGCGTAAAACAGGAGCTGATTGGATGATGGACCAATTTGATGAGAAGTTTCACACTTTGACAGGTTTAAGGGTTGGGAGATGACAGTAAGTCTAAGGTCACTTGAAACTTTTGCAAAGGATGCGGTTAGGCTAACATCTGTTGAAAAGAGGAAGTATGCGGTGAAGGATAGGATTACGGTTAAGGAAAAGAGGAAGTGAGGAGGGGGAGGGAAGGAGGGGGAGGGGCTTGACTGTAAGTCCCGCCCTAAAAGGGGCGGGTCACCTGTCACTTTTTGTGTGACGTCATTTGATGATAACCCGGGTATTTATTCTCTGCCATGTGACGATGATGTATTTTTGCGTGAGATGCACTCTCACCATCAATAGTGCACGTGAGCCCAATGGCAGAAGGTGGCGAGGAGCAGCTAATGCTAACTCTACAAACATTTAATCACCTGAAATAACGTTATAAACCAAAGAAAGACAGAAAATGTGGACCGGGGTCAGAATGCTAGACACTAGTGCTGGGCGGTATGACCAAAATTTTGTATCACGGTATTTTCAACATTTACACCTGTTTCAGGGTATATCACAGTATTTTTCTTTTCATCACAGGTCAGCTGATAATAAAATGTACAAAAACTGCTTATWAACTTTTTTCTTTTACTGTACCTCTGTCTGTGTCGCTGTTTCCCTCCTCTATGTGTATTTTCTCTGATTGGTGGTTGGAGAAAGAAGTAACACATTTTGGTCTGGTCGTGAAGGAGGAGGGTTAAGAAAAGTTTATTATCGGGTCTACTGTTTTATGTTATTTAATAAAACTTATTGGGACGACTCACCTTGCCCACCAGTCAACTCAACTCCGCTACAAAACTCCCCCCCCCCCGGTTTTTCACAATAGAAGCACGTTAAAGTCTCCATGTGTCTCCACGTCTCCATATTAACGTCACGTGTTAAATCTAACCGTGCACGTCACTGAAGAGGTGTTTACTACATTCAGCGATGGCGAAAGCGGATGTTTTTTTAACGTCCATTAATAAAAGCACGCGGCCACCCGCCGCTGCAACAAGCTGCTCCAACAATAACATTAGCACGCTAACGCACATAGCGGTGTTGCGAAGAAAAGTGTTCCCCAGGAAACAGCTCACTGGTGGCTGCGACAAAAYGTTCCGAACGTGTTCAGACTATTTAAACAGGTATGTCGGTATTCAGAAAATTCATATCATAACAAAAATAAAAAACGGTATTCGGTACGAACCGGTATACCGTCCAGCACTACTAGACACAACAAACCCTCCTCCAGTGACACAAATCTACTCAGCTGAGAATCCACGATGTTCTCAGTCTGTTACTTTTGGAAGATAAAATCAGCGCTGGAAGGAGATAACAAGGTGGGTTTGTTACATTGAGGTGCGAAAGTTTGGGCAGCCTTGTTAATTTTCCTGATTTACCTTTATAAATCAGTGATTGTTTTGATAAAAAAAAAAAACTTAATTTCACTTCTCAAATATCACTGTTTGTCCCCATATGATATATTTTACTGACTTTTTTTAATCCAAACAATTAATGATAAATAAAGAAGATAGTTTGACTGAATTTTTGTAAGTATAAATTTAAAATACGGTTTAGAGTCAAAATCATGCAAGTGTAATTAATCACATTGCTGTCAGCTAAACGCAACAATTAATCGTGATTTATAAACTGTATGTTTTGCCAATATCACCCAACTACATGACAGCAACTGAGTCTGGTTCAGCTTTAACTTTAGCTAACTCAGCAAAAACTCTCATCAATCATTGGATGGGTTTAATGAAAATCTCAAAAAGTAATTATCTGATCTACAACTGGATAACTCTGAATTAAGGAGGCTGTCACAGTTAATTGGTCTTAACTAACACTAACCTAATAACCTAATGAAATGAGGACTCCTGACACCAACACATTTCATACTGCATGAGGAGATAACATCATTCACAAGGTTTCTCATCATTAGATCATCTCAGTTTAAATCTCATGAGTTTTTATGGGTGGTATGCATTCATTCAAGGAAGGCTAGGAGTTGACTTTAAGCATGTTTTAATGTTTCCACATGTAGTTAGCTTAAAGCGGCTCTCCTGACAAAAGAAATAAGTTAAAGCATTAAAAGGCACAGCAGGAAAACAACTCCTGCTTCTGTTGCTGCGTGAATCTGAACCTAAACAAAGAGGAAATGATGAGCAGAGAGTGGATGTTCAGTTTTATGAGTGAAATCAAAGCTCTCAGCTGCCTTAGAGAGCTGTGAAGAATTCAGAGTCACTCAGAGCCTAACTGGTGCTACTGGTCCGGTACTTGAACGCAGTCCTGGTGTTGCTCTCTCTCATCCCCTGGATGTGGAGGTCCAGTTTCTGCAGCAGCTCCTCAGACCTCAGGATCTCCTCCTCCAGGAAGCCGTGGATCATGCTGTGTATGGGCGATGCAGACGGAGGCCTCTGGGAGGGAAACACAAGAACAAACCTGTAAACGAAGGGCAGCATCACTGAGTCGTTTCTCTTTTTAAAGATCCGAACCTCTAAGGAAGGAGAGGGAGTCCCTTTCTCCCTGGAGCCTGAGGCCAGACAGTCCTCTGAGCCTGAACCCTCAGCAGCAGGTTTACTGGATGCTGCATTCATCCTGATCAGTCTGGTACTGCAGCTGGATGAAGAGGAGGAGGGAGGAGTCCTGTTGACCTGGGTCTGGCTGTGGGGCCGGTCTGTGGGGGTCTGAGTCACGGTCTGAAGCTCTTGAAACAGTCTCTGGATGTTTCCTTCATAGTGACCGGTGTTCTGCCGCTCCTGAAACCTGAAACAACAGAGTCTAACAATGACCAGGACTGGAACTGTTTGAACTCGTTTGGTTGTGGTCATCTACCTGTCCTGGTGCTGGTCCTGGTGCTGGTCCAGCTGCTTGTCGATGGAGGGACTGAGCAGATCCTGTTCATACTTCTCCTGACAGGCTTGGTTTGAAGCGTCCAGCTGCGAGCACACCTTGGAAAGTTCCTGTCTTAGCTGCTGGTTTTCCTGTTCCAGGCTGCTCAGAGAGGACAGGTAGCTCTCCCTCAGCGAGGCCACAGAGGGTTCCCCCCTCTGAGGAGGGAAACATGATTCAGCACYGAGGCACTTTCACAAACAAACACCAAATCAAGCTGCTGGTGTCGTCTAACTATTCCTGACAGCTTAACAGTAGCTTTGTACGCTAACATTTAGCATCATTTCACGGAATCAGATATGAGTTAACATCACGTCTGATGACTAACAGGTAATACTCCCACATATTTCAGYCTACAATCACACAGAGAGAAAAAGAAGCTGAGTGGAGGTGGCAGACATTATTCACACAGACCTTGGGTGAGGGATGCTGTAGTGTCTGCAGCAGGTCTGTCAGGTGCTGCTTCTCTGCTARTAGAGTCTCCAGCTGCTCTGGAGTCATCTGAGAGGATAAAAGGAGATGGGAAATGGGCTGTAGACCATAAAACAAAACAAAAAAACAAAAAGAGACATTCCTGACATGACTGTAAGCACTAATTTAAAGGGCTCTCAGACTAATGTCACGTTATTTCTCAGTTTTACTAAAAGTTGTTGTTTGTGACGCATGAAAACATTTAAATACTTCAAAAACTGGATTCGTTTATTACATTTTTCACTTAAGCACGTTGCCATTTTGTTACTGACGCAATGCATTTGAGACTACAGTAGAGAGTTAATGTGTGACAATAAATGTGATGATACTAGCATTAGTTCCCGAGCTAATATAATTAGCTCTGGAGATAACACCACGTATATGTTACTAGCATTAGCTCCTGAGCTAATATAATTAGCTGTGGAGCTAACACCATGTATATGTTACTAATTTCAACATAGCATTAGCTCCTGAGTTAATATTATTAGCTGTGAAGATAACACCACATATACACTCACCGGCCACTTTATTAGGTACACCTGTCCAACTGCTCGTTAACACTTAATTTCTAATCAGCCAATCACATGGCGGCAACTC